GGACAGATGACGGCAATCGATGGGACAGATGACGACAATGGATGGGACAGATGACGACAATGGATGGGACTGATGATGACAATGGATGGGACAGATGACGACAATGGATGGGACTGATGATGACAATGGATGGGACTGATGATGACAATGGATGGGACAGATGATGACATGCTGTAGGAATTAGAAAAGGATGAAGCAGAGGTTCAAGGAAGCAAATCTGATGAATCCAATGGAAAAGACAATTCTAACAATGATGAAGATTTATATAAAGATGAATGATTAACTTAGTGTATTACCACATATATACTTTCAATACATTTTGTAAAATTGACACTCAAAAAAACATTTCAATGAAAAATTTCCAAAAACTTTTAATACATCAATAGTTGTTCCACTCAAAATAATATTTACGAAAAAAAATCCCTCGTGTATAGATATCAGAGCATCAAAACTAATGAAAACTGATAACTTACAGATCGGTTCACCTTCTCCACTTGAGAAGATAATGGATCCGTGTGAATCCACAGATGCTGTTTACCACCACTATGTGGCACCACTTGAGCCAACTCTAGAAAATGAGAAATGTGGTGTAATTCAACAAGGGCTGGTTGAGAGTTTACGTCATCTTTTAGAACGACTGGAAATTGTTTCTTCTGCATGTCGTACACTACACGGCTAGATCCAATGTAGTCAAACGATTCCTATTAATGGATTACAAGAAAGATGTTTAGTATCATAATGCTTTCACATATATTACAAATTAAAAGATCTGCTTCAAACAACATCTGATTCAGAAGAACTAATAACCTCAGAAGAGATTTTAAAAAAATGAACTTATAAATAAACAGAAGTAAACCATAAAGCAACTTATTTAAAGATATGTGTGTGTGCTTGACAGAAAGAGTAGTTCTCGATCCTGCAAGATTCGTTTTAGCAAAAAATATAGATCACTCACGGCATGTATACTGTACAATTCATAACTTTTCAATGTTTATTACAAGGGTTTACAAAACAATAACACTTGACCCATGTTGACTATATGAAACATTTTTTCTTTAAGTTGTCAAAAATAAATCGTAAGTTACAGAAGAAGAGACTGGATTTGACAGAAGGCTGTACAACAGGTTAAAAAGTTAGAGAATAAAACTAAAAATTCCTATAATCCGATAGTTTCTTGTATTTGTCTATAAACTCTCCTACATTACTAAAACCATCCATGGAGAAATCCTACACGATTACGTCAAAATTTTTAAATGTTAACACAAGGCTACATACTTTATAAACATATTTCTAACCACCTTTAATAAAAGTTAAAATAAAGAAACATTTCCAAGAGAAAGCTTTAAGTCTAACTAGAGAGAGTAATAATGGCTGGAGACGGCTTGAATGGGTAATGAAGAAAGACTTTAATATAAGTTTAACATAACAGCAAATGTACGTTTCGACAAGGTTTTGTCATCATCAGGTAGAAGTAATTTAAACCCAACATAAACAAACGAAAAATCAAGGAATCCATCTTAATTGAACAAAACAATCCTACTCTAAACCAACACCCCGGGA